TTTCCCCTGTGTCTATGCAGAATTCTAACAACAGAAGGCTAATTTTGATTATTTGATAGAAGACTTATTGTTGAGTGCTGGCTCCTTTTATGAAATCACATGAGTCTTTCTCCCTGTTCTTTTGTGTGCTATCTACAGTTGAGGAAAATCTGACTATGCAGTTCTTTATTAAGGGAGCAACATCTATTTGCTTAGTTTCCATAATTTTACATACCCCGCTCCACTTCAAAGCACCAGTGGCTTTGCTGTGAACATTTTCTAGGCTCTAAATATCTTTCTTTTCCCCCCTGTATTTAGCCTATTGTTGAAAAGAAGAAAATTGAGAGTTTTTAGAAGCCAGAGCACTCCTTTGATGATATTTATTTTTGTCTGACTGCAGGAAAAAAAGTATTGTGTTAGGAGCTGTACAAAGAGAACAAAACTGTCAGTTGTGCCACAGAGACCTTTTAGTCTTGAGTCCTTTAACTGACTGTGCTCCTGTCGCTCCCTCAGTTGAGCCTGTCCCTCGGTCCTGTTCAGGGGCATGTCAGCCCAAGTGGCTGCTTGGGAGCCACCCAGTCCTTCACGCTCCACTGGCCCTGCAGAAACCCAAGGCAGCTCCTCTCTCCTCTGTAGAAAGGTGCCTCAGAGTGAGCCAGGACTTGGTGCATGAAGTGGCTGCGGATGGCCCCTGTGGCATCTCTCTAAGTCTGTAGAGTGCTTTTGGGTTTAGGAGAAGTGCTTGGGCCAATTTTTTATCTTAGTACCTTAGACTCCGCTCATCACTTTAATTAATGTGGGATAAACAACATAGGAGGAGAAACTGTGTACATACAGCCTTGTGCTTCCATGATTAGATTGAAGGGGAAACAGGAGTCCCTTTTCCTCTCACCTAGTGAAGCTTCTCACTGGCTTAGCAAGAACACAGAACACTGTTTTGTGGTTCACTGAGCGTAGCCACGAGCTGCAGAGCATCATTTCAATTAGGGTTACACAGAGCCAAACTAATCAGCCTTTCAGTCCTCTGATTGCTGTCTTTACTGCTCTCCTTTTGAGGCAGGTGCTGTGACAATAAACCCAGAGCAGGGAAAACGAATTTGCATCTGAAGTCATTTCATAAATGAGATATGGGGGAGAAACAATCTCAGACCCATCGGCCCAAGCAAACTTGCTCCTTCTACCTTGTTCCACAGAAAATTTGAGAAAGGAGAAGAAAAAAATTGGTGTAACAAAAGAGCTGACACATTCAAATTGTGCTCAGGAAAGGAGTTAAGTGTGATGTAGGTTCAAAGGAAAGCTGTTTTAAAAACTACAAAAAATAATAATTCCAAGGCTTTTGCCAGAACTATTTTATTAATTTGACACAAATTTAAGGAGTATTGATCAAACCATTTTCCAGTAAATAATATACATATTTGGAAAATGTTAGCCTGCCCTCTGTTTAGTGCTCTGCCAAGGAAACCAGAGTCTGCCGTTAAGCTCTTTCTGTGTTTTTAAGAGCTCTGGTTATGAAAACATCATTCCCTTCAATTCATCCGTGTGGTTCTGATTAATATTGCTATGGGTTCTCATCTGAATTGAGGGCAGCACTGGAAATTGCAGGCTCTTTGAGCACAGACAAGCAAATAAGAAGTCAAAGACAGGTGAGATGGAATTAAAAGAGTGTGATGAGGTGTAATGATGGAAACACCGAGCAGTTGCTGGTATTGAGCTTTTTGGAAAGCTGCACTAGCAACATCTATTGTTTCTCCTTCTTCTACCTTGAGCCATCCCTCCTCAGCCCAGTTTTGCTACAGTGTGTTAGCAAGAAAGCAAATGTGGGAAGGCAGCTTTTTTGCCTGTCTGCTTTGAGCTCAGCATGCCGTCTCCCCATCCTGACCTTGCAGTTGTGCAAGATAGCTACAGATTCCCCATGCTGGGATTTGTACCTTCAACTCCAGAAGAAGAATGATTACAAACCTGCAATCTGAATGCCTCTTTAACTCGAGTGTGAGGGCCAGATTCTCTCTTACCTGTCAGTTTTGCTTCGTTAGGTAGTTCCTTTGCTCCAAACTTAGAGAAGTTAGTATTTCTGTTTCTGTCTAAGCAGCTCTTTGTGATCTAATTTCTTTGCGAGCACGTATGTGATTTTAGTAGATACCAGGTGGAAATGACTGTGTGTGTGTGTGTGCAGCATAACCCTCTGTAGCATTCACTCCCTTTCACTGTATGTTTACTGCAAAAGTGCTCTTAAGATTAAGGGTGACATTCAGGCTGCCTCTGGTGTGCCTGGCTGTGTGAACGGCAGGTACAGCCAGGCTCTGCTCAGGGCATATCAGGTGCTGTCTATTCCAGGCCTGTATACGATGAAAAGGACATTAAATACATATCCTACACATGCACTTCCAGTGCAGTCAAGCTCTCCAGCCCCTGAAATGACAGTAGCAGCACAGAGCACTGTTTGCTTGCAGGACTCTCTCCTTCCAGGGTTGGTCTCTTTCTCCAAGGTGAGAAAAGGAAGGTCTATTCCTATGCCTTACTGTTTGTTTTTTCCTGGAGGGGACAACAAGCAGTAGGTAGAGCACAAAAGCATTAAGCATCCCATAACCACAGCAGACATGTCTCAAATGCTCTAGTTGCAGATCCGGAATCAAAACTTCTGGCAGCATTTCAGTGGTTTGGTTTTAGGGTGCAGTTCAGCCTGCTGTAGATTGCAAACTTGACCCACTCTCAAGTGTTGCCTAGGACTACTGCGTAGCACTCAGTGGCTAGAGCCACACCTCGTCCTTTATGAAGAGATAAATGTTTGATTTTAAAAAGTACAGTAAAGGAAAAACCCTGAGTGTGTTCTTCCAGTGCTTAGCTGCAGTTACAGTTAGATTGTTCTTTTTTTTTTTATGGGCTTCTCTAAAATCACAGTATCTTGTGGGTCCTTCTGGAACTGAAGGGAATAGTTCTTAGCAGTTTTGTCTGTGGAGATCCCTATAAATTAGAATCAAATCACCGCTTCTCTGAGAGAAGCTGAATACATTGTACTTATTCACTGATGTTTTTTAAACCTGATTCTTTTGGGTATTTTCTGTACCTTTTCATGCTTTGCAGCTAGATGCTAGAACTAAAACATCATACTCTTTGCCTTCTTAGCATTATATGTGGTGGTGAGTAGTATCTCCCTTATATTTTACAGTTTCCTCCTTATTTGTGCAATAATTGTTTCACGTTTTTCTGGGCATAGATTTGGAACTAATCTAGTTATATTCAAGACTCCACCAGTGTAAGGTGACCAGTTAAAACTAGAATGCTGTGGGCGACAAATTAAATATCATACACTGGTCAATAATAGCAAGATTTTACTTACTTTGCAAGTTGTGGTTTCAGGAAAGCGTGGGGCCAGGTTTAATGGACAAGCTCATATTTGCAGCAAACTTTATTGACCCGAGCTGTGATGCCAGCCTTTGATTCATAAAAGCATGACATGATTTGGGTGTTAAGAGACCTTTGCTCAGCCAGGCCTCCATTCTATACCTGCCACTACATCATGGTCTGTAAACCTGCAGCAGTTGGCAAAATGCTATCTGTTTACCCTGGTGTCATACAGGAACTAGAAGCGATCAGACAGGAAATAGAAATGACATTTGAAACAGAACTGAGGTTTCCTAATGGCTACAGGGCCCAAGGATTCATTTGGTTCAGGAGGAGGATTAATACAGCTTTTGATCTGATCCAAACTGGCTGGTGCCTCCTCTAGAGTTGACCCTTCTCTGCTCCCCCCCGAGCTTCAGCTACATAGCAGGCTGTGTACACATACACAACCGGAAGACCGGGTATGCTCATGCACGCACGCGGAAACGCATGCACAGAACTTCATAGGCTGAACCCTTCGAATACAAACAGCTTCAGTAAACGAAAGTGAAAAGGAAGCCCATAGGCAGGTGCTGTCATTGTCCAAACTGGCATATGTTGTCAGGATGGAGGACCCTTGAAAAGGCGAGAACAGGGATCTAATCCACACTAATTTTGTTAGAAAATCATTCAGACCAGCATATACCAGCTCCTTATAAATCAGTGCTGGCACAGTTGCCGATTTGCATGCAGTTCCGAGAACAGACGTAGGAAAGCCTTTGTGCAGGGAGCCTGCCCACATCAGAAATCGTCTGAGAAGGCATTTGTGCTCTGGTGAGAGGGCATCGCTGGCAGCATCTCACCCCCCTGCGTTGAATGGTTCTGTCCTTCAGTCCAGGAGAGTGCATCCCTTCAGTGCCAGGTGTGCTTTCAGACCAGACAAACTCATTACGCCACATTTTCCAGCCCATTGAAGAAGCAAAGCGCTGAGCTAATCTTTTCTGCAGGCTAGGAAGTCCAGCTGGAACATGACATGTGCTAGCCTGCAGTTTCCTTAAAGCTGGGGCTAAAAAGGCACGGCGAAGTCGGATGTTAGCTGCAGCATGTCTGAGGTCTCTTACTGGGCCAGCTGAGCTTTCCCAGCATGTAAAGTCCTTCTGTCCCTTATTCAAAGAGAAATTTCCTTTCATCTAAAACCACATATTTGACTCCAGTATGAAAAAATTGCATGAGACAGATGAGGAAAAAATGTAGCTAAAGACAGACTCAGGAGATTTCAGTGGACTTAGATTTTTGAGATTTTCCTTTGCGAACACGCAGAAAATGCAGCCTTCGGATTTATTCTCTTTTTCTAGTGGAAGTTCAGATTATGAGATGCAAAACAGGAATCTTCCAGATTCATAAGCTTTGCTGCCAGTCTGCCACACTTAACCAAAAGTGGCTTTAGTGTCTAACTAAGGCTATATGTCCTGTGAGGCACATTTTTATGGAGTCTTGAGGTTTATTGATCACAACACAAAAGCAGAAGATGTGACGTTTGTCATCTTGTTGCTGAAACAGAGACTGTACACAGATGCCATAATGGCAGTGGAGTAGAGACAGTGCCAACAATTCGAGGAAAGTCTGGCAGGACACTTCGAGGAAGCCTCACGTGCTTTGACATAACAGAATGACTTTTTCTCTCTTCACTTTCCCTACAGGCAAGAAAAATTCCATTCTGCTGCATAAAGTCCAGCATGACCTCAATTCAGGTGTTTTCAACTACCAGGAGAATGAGATCATCCAGCAGATTGTGCAGCACGACAGAGAGATGGCACACTGCGCTCACAATGTCCAGGCTGCCGCCGCCGCTGCCGCCGCATCCACGCCCACCCCTGTCATTTGGACTCCTCTGATTCAGGCACCCCTGCAAGCTGCAGCAGCCACCACTTCTGTCGCTATAGCTCTGACCCACCACCCACGCCTTCCCACAGCCATCTTCCGTCCTCCAGTGTCTGTCTTGGGTTCCTTGGGGCAGCAAGCCAACCAGACTCCAAGACAGCTGAAAAGGCTTCAGTCTCTGATCCCGTCAACTGGCCCTTCGGCCGTTGGCTCTCCCTCCAGTACTCCGTCCCAGCTGCACACCCCGGGAGCAGAAACCCCTTCGTCCTCTTCCTTCCACATCCAGCAGCTCGCAGGATTCTCAGCTGCCGCTGGCTTAGGCCAGTTCCAGGTGGGATCCCCTCCAGGTGGCTCAAGCCAGCCGGGTTTGAGCGGTGCATTCT